CGGATTGTTCTGTGTTTTTTGTGTCCTTCTGTTCATACTGTTTATGTCCATTTCTATTCTCCCCATGGGTCAAAAACTAACTACCCCACCTAAGTTTGTCTTTAGATCCACAGGAGAGCAGGGCTGGAGACCCAGCTAGACAGTGAGCGTGCTCATCCCCTGCCCTCAGGAATGTGGCAGGGCAGCCAGAGCCACTGGGGCTGAGCTTCAGCTGAATAGCCATGGCCGCGAATGGCCTGGGCAGATCCATGCTGGAATGGAGGGACAGGGATATGACTTATGACCCTGCCACTGCACATGTTTGGTTCCCAACATCAGCCTCCAGGGCTGACCCTTCTCCCCAGATCTTTGTAATTGGAAAAACTAACCACCCCCTTTTTGGAGTTCCTTATGTTCTCTCTCTAGGCTATTTGAGATGATTATCAACAATTTCTGCTTGAGGCTAGAAAAATATCCCTGGGGCCGATGGGCGGCCAGCACAGCTGAAAAAAAAAAAAAAAAAAAAAAAACAAGATTGACTTGGGATTCCTTTTGAGGTGCCCCAGTTGGGACTTCAACACTGCTGAAGGTAGGGAGACCTTAAAAATCTATCGCCAGGCTCTGGTGGCAGGTCTCTGAGGTGCCGCGACATGGCCCACCAATTTGGCTAAGTTAAAGAGAGCACTTTTTGACACTACTTCAGAAGCCCAGAGAGCTTCGGTGGCTCTGGTCTTCATGGGGAAATTGGGCCCCAGATATTAGGAAGAAACTCCAGAGACTGGAAGAGTTAAGAGACAGAGAAAGTGTATTTTAGGGACAGAGAAGAGGAGAGAAACGAAAGACAGTAGAGAGACAGAGAGCAGAGAAAAAGCGTGACAGAAGACAGGAAAAGAATTTCACTAAAATACCTTGGCTGCAGTGGTTAAAGGAAAAAAATAGAGAGAGAGAGAAAGTTAGGAAATTTAAAACAGGCTAGGGAACCTGGGCAACAGGACTCCACTTGACAAGGAGGAACAGTGTGCATATTGTAAAGAAAAAGGACACTTGGCAAATGACTGTCCCAAGAAGACAAGGTCTCGAAGGTCCTAGCCCTAAGAAAGGATAAAATTAAAGGGAGACGGGTTTTGGAACCCCTCCTAATGCCCAAGGTAATTCATGGACTACCCGAAGAACAGTGGACCTTGGCATGGGCCGGGTACCCCACTCGTTCGAGCCACCAGCCAACTGCCTTTTGCCTTTGAATGGAAGGACACTGACACGTGCAGAACTAGGCAGCTCATCTAGAGCTGAATGTCCCAAGGGTTTAAAATTCCCCAATGATGGCCAGGCAAGTAGGAGAATTTCTGGAGACATCTGGGTTTTGCAGGCTGACTAAGGAAAAATTCTCCTGGACCCCAGAGCACCAGGAGGCATTTGATGCCATTAAAAAGGCCCAGCTGAAAGCATCGGCTCTAAGCCTTTTGATGTAACTAACCTTTTACCCTTTATGTGGATGAGCATAAGGGGGTCTCCTGGGGAGTTGGAACAGACCAGTTGCTTATCTGTCAAAGAAGCTTGATCCTGTAGCAAGGGGAGGGCCTGTCTATCAAAAAGATATCACTGCTGACAAGTTGACTTTGGGGCATAAAGCAACATTAATAGCCCCCATGCATTGGAGAGCATTGTCTGGCAGCCGCCAACTGATGATGGCCAATGCCCGTGTGACCCACCACTAAAGCCTGCTTCTCACTGAGAGACTGAGTGGATTGTTTTCGCTCCACCAGCTAGCCTCATCCCACCACTCTTCTGTCTGTGGAGACTGGTGAACCGGAGATTCATGACTGCCATCAACTGTTGGTTAAAGAGACTGGAGTTTGCAAAGATCTTAATGACATCCTGCTGGCTGGGGAGATGATGACCAGTTCACTGCCATAAAAGGTAAAGAAAGGACTGGGGCAGTGGTACTGCTAGACGAAGAGAAGTCCATAAACATTAACAGGCAACAGGTATGCTTTTTCAACTGTTCATGTGCATGGGACTGTCTCAACTGTTTGGCTAAAAAAAATTACTGAAGAAAATTTTCCGAAGATTCAAAATACCTAAGGTAGTAAAATCAGACAATGGTACAGGTTTTGTGACCCAGGTAAGTCAGTCACTGGCCAAGATACTGGTACTGGGGATTGATTAAAATTACATTGTGCATACAAACCCAAAAATTCACGTAGAAAGTATAAATAAAACCATTGAGGAGACCTTCACTAAATTGACCGTGGAGACTGGTGTTAACGATCAGATAGCTCTCCTACCCTTTGTGCTTTTCAGGTTTAAAAAACACCCCTGGACCATTTGGGCTGAGCCCCTGTAAATGGCTCATTGGGGGGCTCCCTCTACTGGTGGAAATTACCTCTGTACATAGTGCTGATGTGCTGTTTTCTTAAGCCTCTGTTTGCTAGGCTTAAGGTGCTCGAGTGGGTGAGACAGTGAACAAGGAAGCAGCTCTGAGAGACCTACGTGGTGGGAGACTTGGAAGTTTCACATCACTTCCAAGTTGGAGATTGAGATTTCATTAGATGTCACTGCACAGAAAACTTGAGACTTGGAGGGTGGAAATAAGGGAGAGGGAACTAGGATCGACATGTATAATAATAAATTACAAAAAAACTATGCTCTGACTCAAATATTTATGTTCAAGGACAAGTTACTGGGGAAAATGATTTCTATTTTTTTTTCCCACAGAAAACGAAAAGCTGTGGATTTCTTCCATATTAATGTGGTTTGATCAAGCCAGACCGCCTGAAACAGAATACCAAGTCAGCCTACACTCAAAACAGCTGGACAAAGCAGCCTTACAGACTACAGCCAGGATTTCAGCATCTTCTTAGAATCCCCCATGAGAGCACCCCTTACAAGCAGGAAGTAGTTTGAAAAGAACGATGCCCAAATTCCCAAATATTGTCTATAAATGTTTGTTTTCATTTAAATGGACTTGGTTATAAAAAATAAATAATAAAAAAGATGGAAAAATACTGTTAAAAGTTTATGATTATCCTCTAAAATTAGTAAAGCAATGCAAGAGTTCTTATCAATGCTGTTAACAGTTTACCGATCAGAGATAATGACTTTTCTCTAAACTCAGTAAACCAAATCTCTAGTACACTGACCACAGGCAGGTGAAAATAAGTGTTTTTTTTTTTTTTTTTTATCTCATGCTTCAAAGGAATTACTGGCATTTTATAATATGTCTGTAAATTGTGACCAAAGATCTGTTCCTTGTAAATTCTGTATAAAAAGCCAATACTCTAAAGTAAAAATGGCAGCAGTTGCAAACCGCCTCCATTGTGTTTGTTTCTGTCAAGACGAAGCCACTCCTGACATGGTCATCGAGTTTGGTACCCATGGGGGCACATCACCCACTGAGCGGTCTCCAGCATGAGGTGTTATTGGCCGGGTTGTACAGGAACATCCAACTATCAGGAAATAAAAGCAGGTACCAGATCAAATATGATAATTTTCTTTCTCTCATCAGAAAGCTTGATCATTGCTCTATAACTGTAGGAGTTTTATTCCTGAACCTCAGAAAAACCACTTAACAAACACAAAATTATAAAAAGAGTATACTTCGTGGAAAGTTGAAAATTTAGAGAGGAATGGAGCTAGGAAGATTTTCGTGTATGACCACTACTGTTAGCCAGCACATCTTACTCAGTGAGCAGTTTTAAACAATCTGCATTATTCAAGAATTCAAGCTTTGTAAGACCCTCAGAATGAGGAGTCTCCCAGTTTCCATCGGTATCCCCAAGAACTCAATGTCCAGTCCAGTTGCTTCAACATGCAAGAGGCTTTAATGAACAGGAAACATTTGTGCAAAGGGGCCCCTCCAGCAGGCAGACTAGTGAGAAGAAGCCATCTCCTCCCTCCACCCCGCCACAAGGCACAGGTGTTTTTAAAGGCAAATAACCCAAGCTTAGGGAGGGGGTGGGACCCTCTGTCCATTGAGTACATGACCCTTTGAGGCTGGTCTCCCTATTAGGGTCAACAGACCTTAGGGCCTCAGGGTGTGCTAATTAATCTTGTCTGGGCAAACCGGAGGTGCAGTTATCTATTTGTTTCTTAAAGACCCCATTCACCACCTGCTGTCTCACAAGAAAGGAGGGGCAGTGTAAATTCTTGGAATCTTGTTTTCTCAGGGCCATGTGAGGGGAAGTTAGCAGATTCCAAGGAACAGATATTGCTAGGGGTTAACTTTCCAGTTTAGTCTTTCCTTTATTTAAAGTGGGGCGTTTCTCTAACTTTACTTTTTTGTCTTTCACGCCCTATATCTTATCTCTAGAGAGTAAAGTTCTAGTACTCTGATCTACAAAGCACCCCACCCAGAACCCGCACTTTCCCCACCCTGTGTCCTACTGCGCCCACTGCTCCACTGGTCTGGTTGAGCACTGGGACCGAGAGCGGGGAAAAAAAAACAAAACACCTCCACCTCCGGAAAATTTCTTGGACCTGCTTTGAAAATACTGGACCCATCTATCCCGCTGGAGCAACCAGAGTGCCCGCCTGCCTGATGTTTATCCGTCATTACTGAGGCTCTGCCGGGGGAGAGACCTCCTAGAGTGACTGGAACAGACAGAGTTACAGACATTGAGCACCTCTCACAACTCTGTCCCCAGGAACTCCTTCTCAAACACACGGTTCCGGGACTGTCCCCTGCACAAGCGGCTGCGATCTCAGGACTTCCGCCTTCCGGTCACGAACTAAAGCTTCCGGTTCGTGGCTGTCAGTGTCCCCGGAAGACACACATGGATAACATGCTTCTAGTTCCACCCGGCCAAACTGACACACGATTTCCGCTTGTGAACCAAGGACGTCAGGCTTCCAGTCACGTGACTTGAGCTTCACACAAAATGGTCCCCAGGAAAGGTTGCAACGAAGAGATGCACAACTTGAGTTCCACCCATGAAGTAAACAGGACGGAGTGCGCTGCGGCCTGAGTTCCGCTTCCGGCACATTACTTCCGCTTACGGATGGTGCAACATGCGATCCCCTGCCCACCGGGTGGCGATTAAATTGGATCCGCTTTCGGCCCAGGAAGGGAATTGATCGCATCGGACATTGCGGGCCCGATAGGAAACGCCTTAAGGGACGGGACTAACAGGTCCAAGCGAACAGGTCAGAAACGGCTGATTCTGACCGCAAAAGAGGCAGCACAGAGCATATTCCCTGTCACTCATCGAGGCGGTAGGTGGGACTTCCGGGTGCGGCGAACAGGGCAGAAACAGAGATCGCAACCCTAGGTCCGTGCACCCCTCTGGTTTTCGCTGTTTCCCTGTTTATGCCACGGTTGGCAGCAGGGTTCCTGTTGCCGGGGAAACCGGGTTGGGACTTCCGGCAACATGGTAAATCGGGGCGGGACTTCTGCGTGGGAGCATTGACCAGGAATTAATGACTTAGAGAGGTTCCCAGGGGATGGGCGGTGTCACGGGAGCCGTGATGTCAGAGGAATTACAGGCGTGGCCTGTAGGGCACACAGCTGTCAATCAAACACCTGTCATTCAGTCATTCATTCACTCATTCATTCAGTCATTCAATCAGCCACTCATTCATTCAATCACTCATTCATTTTGTCATTCATTCATTTATTCAGTCATTAATTCATTTACTCAGTCATTCACTCATTCATTCAGTCATTAATTCAATCATTCATTCATGTAGTCATTCATTCATTGATTCAGTCATTAATTAGTTCATTCAGTCATTCATTCACTCATTCAGTCAAAGGTCAGTCATTCATGAAGTAATTCAGTCATTTCAGTCATTCATTCATTAGCTCATTCATTCATTCATACATTCATTCATTTACTCATCCAGTCAGTCATTAACTCATTAATTCATTGTACAATCATTCATTCATTCAATCACTTCCTGTGTGTGCTGGATGCGGGACTTGCGGTCCCTGAGGCTAAGGCTCTGACATAGACAGGCAGTAGGCAGGATTTCCTGTTTCCTTTTACCTACACTGTAGCCCATGGTCATCTTGAACCCCGCTGTCTTTTTTGTACACCCAGGGGCAGGAAATAAGTCCCATCATCTCAGAGGAACCGGAATTGGTTGTCTCAAGCCGGAAGTGGACAATTTCTGGTCCCTCCCAGAACGGAAGTGAACCCCCCAGACCGGAAATGTGTGATCCTTTCAACATGGAGCTGGTTCCACTCACCAGGCTGCTGCAGGGGAAGTGGGTGGTGCTGGCGGTCCCAGGAGGCGGGACATCCTGTCCTCCATGGTGACTTCCAGGGGCAGGGCCTGCTCTGGGATTGTCAGCTGTGACTTCCAGGGGTGGGGCCTGCTGTGACTGACAGCACACCACCACCCCCCAGGGACTGCAGTTCGAGGTCGTACCCTCCCACTTCCAGGAGTCCCTGGAGAAGGCGAGATTTCCGGCTCCGCCCGAATATGCCTGGGAGACAGCAAAGCTGAAGGCTCTGGAGGTGGCTTCGTGGCTGCTCAGGGTGAGGACGGCCCCATCCCTTCTGGTCAGGTGGTAGGCCACACCCCTTCCTTTCGAGGCCCCGCCCACAAGCCTGCCCCGCCCTCTGCTCTGCAGGACCTGCACCCTCCTGATGTCATTATTGGAGCTGACACCATCATGGTGAGTGAGGCCCCGCTCCTTCCGGCCCTGCCCGCCCTGCCCCTCACTGACCCGGCCCCTTGGCGTCTGGCTCCGCCCACTGCAGGCCGTGGATGGCTTCATCCTGGAGAAGCCAAAGGACAAGGATGATGCCTACAGGATGCTGCGCAGGTGGGCGGGGCCTGAAGGGGCGGGGGCAGACCCACCCAGGGCAGAGTGGGCGGGGCCTCTGCATGGAGCTCCAGCCTCTGCCCACCCCAGCCCTGCCCCTTGCCAACCACGCCCTGTCCCGCCTTCCCTGGCCCCGCCCAGGCTGAGTGGCCAGCAGCACAGTGTCATCACCGGTGTGGCCATCTTGAGGCCACTGTGGCGGGGAGGCAGCTTCAGGAGCCAAGTTCCATATGCCCAGAGGCCCCAGAGGTGGAAGGGGACCCAGAAGCAGAAGTGGAATTGTCACTGTTCCACGAAGAGACCCGTGTGACATTCTCGCGGCTATCGGAGCCACTGCTGTGCGAATACGTGGAGAGCGGGGAGCCTCTGTGAGTGGGTGCGGGGTGGGGTGGGTGGGGCCAGGAAACCTGGAAGTGAGGCCTGAAAAGGAAGAGCTGTCCCAGGCGGGCGTGGGTGTGGCTGAGCATGGCACCTGGTGTGACTTCATCCCTGCCTTGCACCCAGGGACAAGGCTGGCGCCTACGGGCTTCAGGCGCGAGGTGGTGCCCTAGCAGAGCACGTGGAAGGAGATTTCTTCAATGCCGTGGGGTTTCCACTCAACCGCTGCATGCGTGAGCTGGCTGCCATCTTCCCGGATGTGGGACCACAAGTCCCTGTCAGCCAGCGTCCGGCCACACCCCAATAATGAGGATTGTAGATGGAGAGTGAGTATGTGAGTGACTGTCTGGGCGGGAATTCTGGTGAGAGAGTGACTGAAGGGGCGGGTCTTCTGGTGAGTTTGTGAAGCAGTGACCCATTTCCCATGATGCCCTTGGTGCATTGTGTTTGATTGACAGAGCAAGGTTCCCTCAAGTGCATCACTTCCCAGTGCTAGGACACAGGACATGGGGTGAGGTGTGTGGAGGCAGGGTTAGGGGACAGGCCCACCGAGGGGAGTACACCTAAACCCGCCCCTGTGGCCCTGCCCCTCCTGATGCCCCGCCCTCACCATCTCCATGGGCCCTGCCCTTGCCCCCACTGGGTCCTGCATGAGCAGCTTCACCATCAGATGCCTGTGATGGACATTTGACATCAGGAGCAGGGTCAGGGGAGGCCCCACCCCCTGCCCGCACTCTGATTTGCATATTCAAGAGCTGCCTGGAGACTCAGAAGACATCAAGTACAGAAACTGCTGGGGTTAATTTGCATGGCCACACCTCCAAATGACCTAACCTGCATGTATTTGCAGGTCAAAGTCCCAAACAGATGGGAATACTTGCATTCATTTGCATAGCAAAAGCATGCAAAGCAGCACAAATTTGCATATTAAAGTGTATTTCCGAAACTGGGGTTTGCTCATTTACATACTCAAATGTGAAGCCCCAATCAGACTTCCAGATTTTCAGGCACTGTGCTTATTTGCATAATCAAAATTACTAGTGCATCCTTTACATAACAGTTTAGTAGCCTCATTTGCATATATAAATGAGTGGCAGGTTTTTGCTGCTCAGCATCAGGCCCCACCCCTTCAGCACTACCCTAGCTCACCTGTCCCCTACCCCGAGGTCACAGTGTCCAAGGTCACAATCAGTGACCCTCTCCAGGCCCTGCCCTCAACCACACCAGGCCCTTCCCCACTTTCTCTCCTAGGGTCCCCGAGGGCAGGGCCGGGGTCTGGGTATTACCTATGGTGCAGACAGGACTTGGTCCAGGCAGTGACATCACAGGAAATTGTGACTGTGAGCAGGAAGTGCCCTCCTTCCCTACCCTCACCATCTCCACGCCCAGCTGGGCATGGCAGGAGTCTCCTACCAAACTCTTTGGTTACCAAGCAGCAATGCTGGGACCAGAGGGCGGTGGCCATGGTGAGCAGGTTATGAGAGTAAAAACCCTGAGGACTGAGGATGATGAGTGTGGCCCCTGTGACATCACAGAGATCTCCCCTCCAGGCCCTTGTAATGTCAGTCACCGCATACCCTGCCCCTCTAGCTGTCAATCACTACAGACCCCACTTCCTGCCTCTGGGCGATGAGGTCTGCTGAGGGTGTGATCTACAGGCTGACTGGGCGGGGACCTGTCAGCTATCTTTATAAAGGTAGAGGGGCAGGCTGTAAGCCGAGGGCTGGATTTCCTGGCAAGGGAAACCTGGCAGTAGAGACTCAGGTCAATCATCAAGGGTGGGGCATGACTTCTGCTCGCAGATCGCAGCCAAGGCTGACTTGAGCCAAGGCCATCAGGAACTTTTGTAACTGCTGTGGCTGGGACTGCATTTCCCAGCATCCTATGCGGCCGCTTACTGCTTCGCTGCACAGAGACTTCTGGGTTTGGATGTTCATGTCCAGGACTGCATTTCCTAGCATCCTGTGCGGTCGATTCCTGTCTTTATGCCCAGGGATTTCCGGTTTTCATCTGTACCGGCCAGGGACTGTAGTTCCCAACATGCTCTGCGGTGGCTTTCTGTTTTTCAGCAATGAAACTTCCAGTTTGTAGTTTTTGGAGGCCCAGGACTCCATTTCCCAGCATTCTCTGTGGCCACTTCCTGCTTCCCTGCCCAGGGACTTCTTATTTTCATCTTTGGAAGCCAAGGACTATATTTCCCAGCATGATTTGTGTCCGCTTTTCAATGAATGGACTTCCGGTTAAAAACTTTGGGGTCCAGAACTGCACTTCCCAGCATGCTGTGTGGCTGCTTCTTTCTTTTCTCCCCTTGACATTCTCTTCTGGACTTCAAGGCCCCTAACTACAGTTCCCAGCATGTGCTGGGCTTGTTTCGATCTTTTTAGTTCCTAAACTTCTTCTGGTCTCTGAGGCTCCAGGACTCCATTTCCCAGCTTCCTGTGGTGCCGCATCCTGTTTTTCAGTCCTGAAATTCCACCATTTAAAGGCACATAGTAATTTAGAAATATTTGAGAATTAGAACAGTGAATTTAAGTTGTATGAAGTTAGCTTACATTTACATAAAGTTAAGTTGAAATCGAATGTACAGATATATTATTCAGGACTGGGTAAATTGAGAAGGACAAGAGTGTGAAGCTATGTATAACATAGTCAGAGAAAAAAGATATTACAGACAAAGAATAAAAGGCAAACGGTAAATGACTTACAGGTTCTGTTGGCGGCAGAAGCTGGCTAGACTCTTTCTGCCTAGATGGCTGATGTAGCAGAAAGAAGAACCATGGTGGGTAAAGCTAGGCCACATGGTCAAGATGGTGGCTGCCATAAACATATTCCCAACAGCTGAAAGAAATTGTAAAGTTTTGAGATATAATTTTGTCTTGAGCAGATGCTGCCTCAGCCCAGCCCACCATGCTGAGACAGGTTGCAGCTGGGGCAGGCAGGAGAATTTGAGCGTGCCGGGAAGAGAACCGAAACAAGTTTAGGGAAAGAAATTGTTTAGCAGAGATATAAAAAAAAAAAAACACCTTCCACCTATTTGTTCCCTGGCAGTAATTTGAAAGATCCCATAAAATATCGGGATCTAGAGAGCCGTTACATGGCCAATTTGAATTATTTTCTAGGGGATATCTAGGCTGCTTTTCAGTACAAAGGTAAATAAGTCTGGGTGACTTTACAAGTGGCATTAAGTGAAAGGGTTTTAAATTTTCTATCAGGCATCCCAGTGGAGTGGTGGGGGATATTTCCTTGGTCGGTTTATTCCCCATGGGTGGAGTGAAAGTGACCATGCAGTCTTGGAACTCATCAGCCCAAGAGTGTGGCCACACGATTCACAAGAATGGTAGAGCTTTATTCGAAGCTCGTTAGCCCGAAAACGTTGCCAGGACCAACAGAGGCCGGAAATACTCAGCAGTCTGAGAGCAGAGCCAATATACCACACTGGGCTGTATGTCTTCTACCCATGGAATGTACCTGACCTTAAGGAATTGGGTTAAAATGTAAAAGGGTACCTTACCTAATTGAAGCCTGTGTGGGGTGGTATTTCCAGTGAACGGGGGGGGGGGGGGGATGGTGGTGGAACGCTGGTATCTGAAACAAGATCCTGAGTGTTTCTGGCTGGCCGCCCACCAGCAGACAGCTGTCAGTGACCCTCACGTAGAGTCTTCCTGGGTTTCGGCACCAATGTTGTTCTTTTGCTGTGCAGCTAATGCCTAAGAAACACAAACGCGAGACTCAGCGCCCACATGGAGATTGTTGAGGGAAGGGAGAGAAAGAGGGGGTAGCTGGTGGCCAACTGAAAGCAGGAGAGAAAGAGGGGGGTGTGGGGCACTTGCTTTAAAAGGGGAGGCTTGCACATGTGTAACTGAGTCCTCTGGCAGCCAGGTAAACCTTGAGCCTTCAGGTAAAGCTGATGTAGCAATGACATGGCCATGAGGGTCCTGCCCATCATCAGGGTGGGGGGGGTCAAATGGCTGCTAGTTCCTAACAATCAGATTACTAAGCAGAGTCACTATTTAGCTACACATGTAGTTAAGTGTAAGCCACTAGTTAGCCACAAACTAACCCACTAGTTAGCCACACATACTAGCTCACTAGTACCCACACACACCATGCCACTTGTTAGCCACATACTTAACTCACTTTTTACCCACACATATGAGGTCACTAGTTAGACAAACACCTAAATCAATAGTCATCCCCACACCTTTGTCACTAGTTAGCCACAAAAACTAAGCCACAAGTCCATCACACAAATAAAGCAGTACTTAGCCACACACACTAAGACAGTAGTTAATCATACACCTAAGTTACTATTTAGCTACATGCCTAAGCAGTAATTAACCACATTGCCTAAGTCACTAGTTAGCCACAAAGCTAGGTTACTAGTTAGCCACAGTCTCTATGTCTCTAGTTAGTTACACACAATATATCACTACTTACCCACCCATACTAAGTCACTAGTCAGCCACAAATCTAATTTACTAGCTAGTCACAAACATCAAGAAAATAGTCAGCGACACACACACTGAGATAGTAGTTAGCCATTCACCTATGTATTTCTATGTATTTAGTCAAATACACACCTAAGTCACTAGTTAGCTACCAACACTAGGTCACTAGTTATCCACACACATTAAATCAGTAGTTACACACACACATCCTAAATCTGTCTAAAAGAAAAACAGCTCACACTAAGGTGGTCCCAGGACATGGGAATCAGGCCTTTAATCCCAGCAGCAGGGATTTGGAGATAGGAGTGACATGGGTGGACAGAGAGAGGAAGATAAGGTAGAGGAGACAGAAGAGCATGCAGTGAGATGATTTTGATTGAGAAGTTAGTCTGAGGGATCAAAGCGATAGCAGTCAATCTGAGGAGGCAGTGTGAGGACAGGAACACATCGCTTGTCTGAGAATAGGTAGAGATACCAACTCTAGTAGCCAGATGCTCTGATCTGTGATCCTTCAGTTTTCACCTTCCTCTCCCTGTTAGATTACTGTGAGTTTTTATTATTAAGACCTATTATAACTTGTGCTGGAAGTGATGTTCTCTCTGTGGAGGTGTGATATTTCAAAGTCAATAGAGGTAAAAATTATAAATTATTAAAGTATGTTAACTTTGTTTTTTGAAAATTACATTGGTATCTTTTTAATGTTTTTAATTTGTAAAATTTTTTATTATACTTATCAAACCAGTTCCCTCCAACTTACTCCAACACTCCTTCTTCCCCTCCCAACTTCCCGGGCCCCCAGCCACTCTCTCCTCCCATCCAACCAACACTATACACGTAGGGGGACGCCTTCCAGGAGGGGTCATCTAAATCCTTCAAGTCATTTTAAGTAGACACTAAAATGTCTCTCCTGTCTCAAGGTTAATGGAGTATCCCTCCATGGGGATTTTCCCCCAATGTCCTTTTTGCAACAGGGATACTTCCTAGTCCCACTCTCTGAAAACCGTTAGACTCCACAGGCCTTTTAGCTGAGACCCATGTTCAGGGGTCTGTGTCAGTCCCATGTTGGATTCCCAACTATAAGTCTGGAGCCCATTAGCTCCTTCTTGTTAAGGTCAGTTGTATATATGTGTTTGTGCAGTGTGATCTTGTCCTCCCTCTCTGCATCTGGATTCCAGTGTTTAGTTGTGCATGTATGCTTCTGTTTCCATCAGCTACTAGATGAGGGCTCCATGATGGTGGATAAGTTAGTCATTGATCTCATTGCCAGTGAAGGGAATTTATGGTAGCCTTACACTGTTGCTCAAATTGTTAGTTGGGCTCATTCTTGTAGGGCTCTGTACATTTCTCTAGGTTATATTTCCTCTTCTAACC